CAGGCATCAAAGAACAAAAAATCATATCATTGTGAATTAGTGGAGAGGAGGGGTGGGGTAAGTGCTGAGTGGAGACCCAAAGCCCATCTGTGGGCAACTGGACATCCTCTTACAGAAGGGTCACAGGGAGGAGACAAGCCAGTCAGGGTGCAGTATAGCAGCATTGAAACATACAACTTTCCTCTAGTTCTTTAATGCTTCCTCTCCTTCCCCACCCTCCTCCAACTATCATAATCCCAATTCTACCTTACAAATCCGGCTAGGCCAGATAAGAGCTGGAAACACAGGGAATCCAGGACAGATAAACCCCTCAGGACCAATAATGAGAGTATTGATACCAGGAGGGGAAGGGGAAGGTTGGGGAGAAAAGGGGAACCAATCATAATGATCTACATATAACCCCTCCCTGGGGGATGGACAACAGAAAAGAGGGTGAAGGGAGACATCAGACAGTATAAGATATGAAAAAAATAGTAATTTATAAATTATTAAGGGTTTGTAAGGGAGGGAGGGTGGGAGAGGGAGTGGGGGGATGAGCAGCTGATACTAAGGGCTCAAGTAGAAAGCAAATGTTTTGAGAATGATGGTGGCAACAAATGTACAAATGTGCTTGACCACAATGGATGGATGGATGGATTGTGATAAGAGTTGTGCGAGCCCCCAATAAAATGATTTCTTTTTTAAGAGATGATATGTATGGATGCTGACTGAGTAAGTATCAGAGTCATGAGCCTTTTAGCAGACAGGGGCACCAGGGAGTTAATGCTACAACTTTTGCTCCCATAACAAGAACAACATAAAAATAGTTGGAGCTCTCTCCATCTGGAATCTCTTCTGTCCACAATATCTTGAGTTCAAGGGTGAGAGGTAGAGGTCAAGATATTACGAGAGCAAAATAGTCTATTATGATACCAATTCATCGTTGTCATCTATCTTCAAAAGGGATGATGTATTATTTTGGCAAATCTTCTCACATTCGTTCCAGGTTTCATTTTCAGTGGTAAAATAATAACAGCTTACTCCGCAGCAGGACCACTTGTCTTCAGATGGTTTGCCTACAACAGATTAAGTGAATCATTAAGCTTCGTATCATCTGGTATCATCATTCTGTTAATCAGAAGAATAAATGTATCAGTTCTCCATAACTAAAAAACATAAAGTGTTAAAAGGGTACTTGTAATCAGGGTTCTCTCTCAGGTGGATGTCTGAGCAGCCTCCTATTGGGGAAATCACAAATATACACCCATTACTCTTTTTTTATGTTCATCTGGGCAACAGCATAGCCGAAACACCCATAATAATGTTCATTCTGTCCAAGGGTATACAAATTAGAACTATGCTTATAATATTTATTTATTCATTTCATGAAACTTTGTATAGTTTTGATGAAATACTACACTTTCATTCCTTTGCATCTGTTACTAGATAAACAAACATAAAATGTAAAAAAGTGCCAAATAATAGAGAGTGACATGCTGTCATCTGTTTCAGCTTCGTGGTACAACCTGAATTCCCCCGAGATACTGTGAGGGAATTATGCAAGAACACTTGCTGTAAGTTCAGCAAAAGCAGAAAGTGGGTTCTCAAAAAATGAACATATATATTCAGAGAAAAGAAGTCACCTGTTTCTAATGGATGGATTTCTTTGAGTTGGTTGGCCAAGTAGCTGTCTTCTAAATTTCCTAGCGTAGCTATCTGAGTGAATACTTCCAGTGCTTTATCCATGTATTGGAACATTTAAATTGGTATTCTATCAATTCCTGGAGCATTGTTTTTGGCTAATACTTTTAGAGCAGCTCAGCCCTCTTCGTTCAGCACCATTGGTTCTTCCGCATAGACTACTTCTTGAAAGTGTGGAATGTCTCCCAGTTCTTTCTGGTCCAGTGACAGTACTGTCTTTCTGTCGAATTTTGACCCTTCACTTCCTTCATCATGAAGTATTTTGTCCATAGAATCTTACAACTTGAGGCCTAAATATTTTCTTGAATTCTTTCCATTTATGATGTGCTGATAGTACTCTTCCTTTTTTGTTTTCTAACTCTAGATCTTTGCACATTTCATTATAATATTTGACTCTATCCTCTTGAATCGCCCTTTAAAATTTTTGCTCAGTTCCTTGACTTCATCATTTCTCCCGTTTACCTTAGCTGCTCTACAATTCAGAGCAACTTTCAGAGTCTCTCCTGACCTGCACTTGGATCTTTCCTTCCCGTCTTTTTAATGCCTTTTGTTGCTTCCCGTATGATGTTCTTGATTTCAGCCCACAGCTCATCAGGCACTCTGTCATTCGTGTTGAAGATGTCATATCTGCTCTCAGATATCCTCGAAATCCAGAAGGCACAGACTCAAGGTCGAATTTTGTCCTCTTGGACTTGTTTTCATTTTCTTCACCTTCAGCCTGAACTTACAGATAGCAACTGATGATTTATTCCACAATTGCAGCCTGGCCTGCTGGTATTAAGCATCTCTGTCATCTCTTCCCAGGGGTGTTGTCAATTAGATTTCTGCATATTCTATCTGAAGAAGTCCATGTGTATAGTCACCTTTTGTGATGTTGAAGGGGAGAGGTATTTGCTGTGAATAAGTCATTAGTCTTAAAAAATTCTATCATGTGAACTCCAGCTACGCTTTTTCCCCCCACTTAGACGAGTGGTTGATAAACTATGGCTCACAAAGTAAACTTGTGGCTCTGAATTAAATTTGAAAATGAAAATAAAACTATCATAGTTTCATTTATGATATTACTTTAAATTCTCCTTCTTTGTAAAAATATATTTATTTTTACCTTTAAATTGTTGTGATGGACAAGATGGACTTTTTTATCAGTTTCCAACTTTTGCATTCTAATCACCAATACTTATCAGTATATCTTGATTGCATGTACAATCAATTTCTGCCTGAAGATGTGTGTAGGGGTCTTCAATTGCTTCCTTACTAGCTTTAGTGGTTGGTACATAAATTTGAATAAGAATTGTATTGACTGAACTGCCTTGTATGCAGATAGCTATTATTCTATAACTGACAGAATTACTTCAAGATAAATTTTGAAATGTCCTTTTTGATGATGAATGCGACATCATTCTTCTTGATCATCATTCCCAGCAAGGTAAACCATATGATTTTCTATTCACAATAACTAACACCAGTTTATTTATGCTCAGAAAGGCCTCGAATATCTATCTTTCTGTATTCCATTTCATTTTTCACAATTTCCAGTTTTTCTAGATTTGTACTTCGTACATTCCAAGTTTCAATAGTTAAATTACGTTGGTGGCTCTTTCTTCCCACTGGGGTCATGCCGACCAACAAATGAAATTCCCAAGTGGAATTACTCTAGTGGAGGTTACTCCGTCTTTGGCATTGTGGTCTACTCTACTTTAAGAAGAGTAAATATTCTTTTCAATTTGTTTTGCTGTTGTTGTTTGTTTGTTCTATTTTCCCCCTCAGTCATATTTTGGATGCCCTCTGATCTGGCGCGCCCGTCTTCCAGCACTAACTCTAGCAATAGTACAAGGTAGAACCGGCCCCGTTAGTTTCCAGGATTGTTACATTTTATGAGGAGAAGACCACATCTCTCTCCTGAGAAGAAGCTGTGGTTTGGAATTGCTGACCTGGCAGTCAGGAGACCAATACATAACCACTATGTTCTCCCTGTAGCAACACAATAGGTATCGATAATTTTCCTTAGATCTAAAGTGATCAAAATTCTCAAGGGAAATGACAAACTATTTTGCTGGGTGCAGGAGTAGGAGGATAAAAACTGCCACTGAGTTTTTAAAAAGATAAGGTTCTACTAGTTGTAACACAACTGCTGAGTTACCAATCCTAAATTTTACACAAGCAAGTTCCAGCATCCACATAACATCTAAACTAAAGTTGTTCCGCAAAACCAAATATCAGTAACATCTACCATAAGCCCATTACCAGCTATTGAATGTGGAGAACCAATGCAAAGTGACACAACCTTCGTTCATTATGCACCTCATACCTCTGTTTTGCACAGATTTTGAAGAGACCCCAGTTTTTCTATGGCATCTGTTCTTTTCTACAGACATTGAATCCTGTTTCTTTCGTTGCTCCTTTAAGTAGCTGCTGTTTTGCATAATGTAGTAATTTAGACTGAGGTTTCGCAGAATTTCCTCCTGGTGATTTTTTTCTTGAATATACTGAAAAACTAAAATTATTAATATATATAATACAAACAGTAATCAGAAGGGTTAACTATTGAAATTTAAGAAATGAGAGAAAAAAATCTCACTTTGGCAACCAACATGTTTCATTGCTTTAATTAGTAAGACAAATAGAAAGTAACACCTCAATTAACTGATGACGACAATGGAAACATGAGCATTCTCAGTATTTGCAATTTAAAGTACAATAAATTAATGATACAATAAATAAAATAAGATATTGAATAAACCTGTAATGCTGATTCCTCATTGTTTAGCTTATGTTTAACAATACATCATTTACACATAGGTACCAACCAAAACCACTGACTACCATTTAGATTGCTAGACAACTGAGTATGAAATTCTAAGCAAAGGAAGCTAACGTGGTATCATAAGTATTATTGGAGTAAATAGAATATCTGTGAGAAAACAAGAAAGGGAGGAAGATCCACTTATATAATTTATTTGCACGTAAGTCATTGATGATTTTCTTTAAAGGTGTCTAGAAAATCAAATAAAAGCTAAAGCTTGGAGCCAGTTTCATCTAATACCCCCATACATAAAAAACAAGAAAAAATAAAGCAGGAAACAGTTGCTGTCAAGTTGATTCCAACTCGAGGTCCCCTGTTGTGTGTCAGGGTAGAGCTGGGCTCCACAATGTTCTGAACCAACTCAGCAGGACTCTTTTTCCTCAGCACCTCTGGGGCTAACAACTTGTGGTTTCCCTGTCAATCTCCTTTACTATTTGCCCCACCCAGGAATCCCTTCCTCTACAGTCATTATTTTTATTAAACCATCTCATTACATACTTAACAGAGATTTAAGAGAAAGCCATGATTTCTTTTGAACAAATGTTTCTCAAATAATGTTTATGGAAGATTCACAAATACCTAAATGCAGAAGGCAGCATATGATTAAGGCCTGTATGAGAAGAATATAACAAAAGGAGACCGCTCCTCACAGCTGCAGCGTGCATGGAACACATAACTAAGAGGACAGTGACCCTGTGAGGTGCCTGTTAGAAAGACACCAATAAAGTCTAGACAGGGGACATTCCCTGCTTGTAGCCCAAGAGAGCGATTGACAAAGAATGGCTAGGCTCTGCACAAATCTTAGTTACTGCCATGACTCAGACCAGGAAGACATATTTCAATTACTCACTCTTCGTCCCCAACACCGCAGCTGTCATCAACAGAAGCAAACAGAGGGTCCCCAGAGTCACTGCAATGAGACGCCAGGGCACGGAACACTCTTTAAATAAAAAAGGAAGAAAATAATTGCCACAGAACAAAAACCAGCTCGCTGCTAACCTTAACCTGGGAATCATGGGAGCCAGAGACCACTCTATCGAAAAATGTGTTTTGGATAAATAATATATTACGGAAATATCATGTCCTACAAGTTGACGTAAACTTATAATCTGGGAATTAGTTTTAAACCTTCACATGTCTAATAAGCATCTCCCCATTGCACAGATTCTACATACAATAACCATTCGATGGATTTTCGAAAGCATGTCCCTTACAAACACAGAGATGGTGGTAGATCCAATATGCATTCAGATTGATGAGACTTCGTCCGAGCATGCGCCCTTCTTCCTAAGGCCTCCACCTCGCATGAAGAGGAAAGGGCATCGCATTGGTGGCAATGGTAAGGGTATGACTTCTAACTGGTGATGTCTTTGAAGTGCGTCCTTAGATGAGTTTCTAGACAGTAGCTTTTCTGTCATTTTAATCAATTACATTTCTTCTAGGCAACACTATTTTTATTCTATTACTTTTACGATCTTCACTATCTGAATATTCTATTTCTGGTTATCTCGGGATCAGAAAATGTTATTTTCAAATGAAAGTCAATGTTTGATATTATTACATTTGAAGGGAGAGAGAATAGGAAAATCAGAATAACCCCTTGGGTCTGCATTTTTCAGCTTCATGGCTACTAAATTTGGGGCAAATACTTAAGATATTTTAAATACCCTTTGACTGTGAAGGGGAGGCAAAGTTGTTTTTAACACATATATTTTCCTTTCTTAGGCATTTCCTCTGATTTCCCTAGGAAGTACAGCATTTTCATGAGATTCTAGCTTGTCCACTTTAAAACAACTTTTTTAATATTTCAAATAGCTTTACTGGATCATAACTAATATAATGTGATAGACACACGGGTCATTAATGACCTGATTTGTTGAGCATGCATGAGACATATGCACATGTGTATTTGCTGTGATTCAGATTACACACAGCAACTCAGCAATTCCTTTCAGAGGCACGGATTCCATGCTTCAGACTCCACAAGCGTGCCTTCCTTTTTCTAATTGTCCCTCCCCTATTAACTCCTTACCCCCTACGTTTCTAGCTCATCTTTTGAGTTTCTGTTGTTAATACGATTCCATATAGAGATATCTTTAAATAACACAATGCTCACAAAGTCAGCACATTATTTACTAGTTAAATTAGTCTTTGTTTTAAAGAGATGTCAGGGGACATTTGACATTGGTTTAAGATTTCTTAGATTATCTTATGGGGGTTCATCTAGCTTCTATGGCTCCAGAAATTCTGGAGTCTATGAGATTGTGAAAATTGGCTTTGCCTTTCCTCCTTTTTGATCAAAACGTTCAGGAATGGTTGCCGGACCCTATCCATTTCTTCCAGTTGCCTGGGAAAGAGGCAATAGTTCATGGAAGCAATTAGCCATGCATCCTCTCTGGCCCATATTCCTCTGTGGACTCTCCTTCCTCTCTTGCTACAGGTGAATAGAGTCCAAGAACAGTACCTTAGAAATCCACCTGCAAGCTCTTAAGCATCCAATAGACTAGACAAAATGCTAGATACTGCACAACGAACTCTGTGGTAGAGCAGGAAACGGAACACAGTATTAGCGAATTGACTGGTATGTTCCATGAAACCATCATCTGAAACTTCCGAACCAAGAAACCAAGTCCCATGAGATATTTCACTACATATAAGCAGTTCCAATAGCTTTTCTTTCCGTTGCTTTTGCTATAAATACAGCTATCCTAAAGCCAGTGCAACTTTTTACAGGTAAGCCGCTTATGAACAACAATGTTGTACAAGTTGGCTGTGCAGCCCTCCGCGAATCATGGCTTTTCTATCAGCAAACTCAGTATTCCAAAATGTCCTGTCCTTTTAAAGGCCGCACACATTTTTTTTCCAGGCAAGTTTGAATGAAAGCATTTTATTAGCCTGTCAAATTTTAAAGAATTCATCAATCTTTCCATTCTCACAACTTTTTTAAAAAGACCTCCAGCTAATTATGGCTCCTTTGGCCACCTGAGAAACTTATATACACACAGGCCGTTTATTTTCACAGGTCAACGGTTGACAATCCATGACCTAGCTCCTTAGATCATACATACCTTTGCCCACAGTTTCCTCCGGCCTTTCAGGGCCATCAGGCCTGAATCAATTCTGTGCGCCTGATGGAGACCGAAGAAATCTCAGCGTGGAGTAAGTCACTTCCTGATCACTCATCTCTAAAGGAAGAAAGGAAAGATGTTTTGTGTTACAACCTTGCAACAGGATAGTTCTGAGAAAAACTAAACTGTCAGCCTGTAAGAACATGACAGGATGTAATTCTGAGAGCATTCTGGACATGCATGCGCGTGTTTATTAAGAAATACAAACTGAAATAGAAAGGCTCGCAATATTTCTGTGAAAGTCATTTAACCCTGAATGCTCCCGGCCGTCACTATCAGAAACTACGGAAAGCATTTTTAAAAGCTCCCAACAGATTAGTGTCCTATTCACCCAGCCAATCAATGTTCAAACCCAACATTTGGGTTAATTGGTATCAACCCCAAGTGCTAAAACACTTTTAAAACGATCAAAGCAAAAAACACATTCTATATTCTGAAATAATATTAATCTCTTGGTTTAGCAAATGTTTTCATTTAAAAAGCAATATTTTGCCACATAATATATGTGTCCTGATGAACATAGGAATACAAGTTCATACAAGTTTCTCTAAGTGCATATCCTTAGCCACCTATGAAAGAATTGTTTCAGGGAACTGGCTAACATTTCAGATTCTAGTGCCCCATGCAAGATGCCCCAATAAGAATCGACTAGTTTGGAACCTACACATTTGTATCTTTAATCCCACATACTTCTTTGAACAGTAAAATTTTGGAAACAATCTTCTAGTGCATGATGCTGACAAATAAAACTATGTGAAAATAAAATTAGTCTATAGACAGTCATTATTTAATATCCATAAAGAATTTAGTGTATTTATAGCCATCAATATTAAAATAAATTATTAAATAGTATTTAAAAATCACTCAAGATAATCTCTGAGAAAGAGGAAATACAAAAGAAAAAAATGAATAGCACAATTGCCTGCATTTATCTAAAAAAAATATTTTTTAATTCTTGAAAGTTCACTTATTTACGCTTTCCAACTTCCCTAAGAAGGAAAGAGAGTCTTTTCTATGTCAGAATTCTTCAAGATGTTTAAGACCATATATAAATCCTTAGACCCCGATAAAAAGACAACTTATCTTCCCAACCCTCTTCTTTGTACTTATATCACAGAGCAAAGATCACAGCAGGTTGGGAAGGAGAAAATAGCTTTCCGTGAAGGCCGAACTACAAGCCTTTAAACCCTACAAAAGTGATGCAATTCGAAAGCAACAGACAGAGAACACTTGGCTATCAATCCTACTCATTATAAGTCAGTGGTAGTAAAATGCTAGATTTCTGCCACTCCTACAATGGTTACTTCGAAGGAGGGCTCCTTGAATAATTACTTGCAGAGGTCTGTGGGAAGTGAAAGAGACGTACCTGCATCCCCGGTGAAGAAACCGGACTCAAAAATAAGGGCTGAGGAAATTAGCCTTTCCGGGTTGGGGCTTTGGGTTGAGGGAGGGATTGTCTGTCTAACAGCGGAAACGAAGTGGCTCTGAAAACTACTTCAACTACAAGTGTTCTTGCCCCTCCCTTTGACCAAAGTGATAAGAGGAAATTGTATGATGAAAGAGGATGTTGACGGGAATGGAAAGATGGTCATGAGTTATATCTTCCTCCATTTCAACTAGCCAACCGGGTGGTACACTTTGTAAGAATGCCACTCAAAATGAGTATTTAAGGACTGGAAGAATGAGAAAACATACTTGGAGGAATTGAGAACAAATATTTCTAACAAAGGGCTAACATAATTAAAAGAAATTATTAGGAATAGCGTATTTAAATGTATATGCACAATTATGTGTATATATCTTTACACAAAAAATCATGACTAAATTCAACTCTTATAGTATCTGTTAGAAATTCTCATTTATGTTACTAGTTGAAAATGATCTTTCCTTTTTTCAATTATGTTTATTATAGGTGATGTATTATATATTATACATATTATATATATACATATATGTATTATGTATATATAATACATATTATATATTCTTTAAAGTTGCCATCGTTTCAATATAAAATTTTTATATTTTCCAACTTTTTATGTATTAGGTACTTTTCAGAGTTGTTATCACTTACAGACATAATGCTTTTGATTGTTTTCTAATAAATTAGCAATTTTTCATTTTAAAAAGTTCTTCTAAAACATGAATTTACAAAGCACAATTATCCCACGAGTGTACCACAATCTGAGTAATACACTACTCTTGCATATTTAGATTATTTCCAACTTTACGCTTGTATTAAAAAAATTATCTGTACTTTTGAGTATTTCTTTGGAAACTTTTCTAGAAATCTAGTTATGGTGTAAAAGTAGATATATATTTAAAGAATCTTGTTTCCTATTGCCAAACGCCCTCCAGAAAAGTTGTTCCTGATCATATGCCACAGGTTGTATAAAAATGTTCATAATTTTTTTAAAGAGATACTAGTAAATCATTCCTCTCCTTGAGTTTTCCCTACAAATCTTACCTTCAAAGATCTTCCATCACAATTTTCCAGCTAAGCCTAATTTCCACACATGGTGAAGATTAACAGTAAAGTTATTTCTCTACATGTTACTATAAAAGCGAAACCCTGCGAGAATCTCCTTAACGATCACTAGTTGCATAGTGAGTTATATGTTGGGCTGCTAACTGCAAAGTCAACAGTTCAAAACCACCAGCCACTCTGAGGGAGAGGAAAAAAAACTGTCTACTCCTCTAAAGAGTTAGTCTGTTACATATTTTGGACATGTTGTCAAGAGAGACCGGGCCGGGAAGAAGGACATTGTGCTTGGTAAAACAGACTAGGAGCAAAGGAGAGGAAGGCCCTGAAGGAGATGGAGTGGCCCCGTGGCTGCACCAGTGGCCTCCAGCACAGGAACCCTTGGGAGGATGGCGCAGGACCAGGTGGGGTTTGGTTCAGTTGGGCACAGGCTTGCTATAGGTTGGGACCGACTCGCCTGCACCTAACAACACAGTCAGTCTTGGAAACACAGGGGCAGTTCTATCCGATCCTATAGGGTCGCTATCAGTTGGAATCAACTTGATGGCAGTGAGTTTTGAGTTTTCATAGCACTGAGGCCTGTCCAATTTTCCAAGTACCGTTCTATGAAACCAGTTTACCGTGTGCGACAAGAAATATGTCTGCCTGAGCCCTTGGAAATGTTTTGAGAATGATGATGGCAACAAATGTGCTTGACACAATGGATGGATGGATGGATGAATTGTGATGAGTTGTAC